TTACATATATGATAATTATTTTAAAAATATCACTTTTAAAAAGATAAAATCATTCAAAGTTTCAATACTTTTTCATTCTGTAACGAGATAAAGAAAAATTTTAAATTATAAAATATTTAGTTTTTAATGTTTTATCATTCGGTTGTGAAAAATATCTCCAGATAAAATTGTTTCTAAAATTGAAAAAAACCTGAAAGAGATTTTTTATGAATAAAAAAATTTCTCCATGTATATAACTTATTATACATAATTTATTATATATAACTTATTATACTTTAACTTATTATATTTTAATAAACTTTCAATGAAATAAAAATTTTGAATAAAATGTATATTTTATAATATAAGATACGAATATTTTCGTGACAGATATATATGCATATTATTATATTTTTTGAAATTTTGATATTTTAAAGATTTTGATATTAGAAGAAAATTATAGAATAATTATTTAGAATTGATTTCAACTCATTCATTTTAAGATTCTTAAAATATATTGTCAATATGATTTTTAACGACATTTTTAACGACATTTTAAACGACATTTTTAATCAATTGAGAAACACAAAAATATTTTCCATACCACATATTGTAACTATACATTGTATTTGTAAAGTTTGGAATAAATTTTTTAATTAGATTTAAAAAAGAAAAAATTTAAGTCAGATTTTTCCTTAATCATCATGTGAATCATATATTTCACATTTTAAGGATTAATTTGCTTATAATATTATATATATTTTGCAATATATATAACATTTAAAAAAATGATAATTATCAAGAAAAAAACAAAGTTCAAAATATTATAGAAAAGTTAAAAATTTTTATTTTATTTTACAAATTATTATTATATAATTTAATCAACATATAGTTTACGAATTAATAGCAAAAATGTTAAATAATTTAAATAGAAAGTAGAAAATAAAGCGATCCATGCGGCATGTATTAAATTTAAAAGACTCTGTCCGAGAATAAAATATTAGAATACATTTATCTTTTTCATTTTGATCATTAATAACCTTTACCATACATCAATTTTACAAAATTGTCTGAGTAAATATCATTTTCATTCAGGTGTATAAGGAACTCAATAGAAAAGATTGGAAATAAGCATACTTTAAAGGAAAATGCATATATTCAGTTATAGGATAAACTGTATAAAGTTTAAATATTAAGTAAAACGGATTAATGACATATGGTTTGATGAACATCTTTTTTATATTAATTTTTAAATTTATTTTTTGCTTTTACTGAATTTTTTAAAAGATTTTTGACTTTATTATAAGCTTTAGATGCAATACATATAACAATTTTATATGTAATATGTAAATTATATATAAAATATATAATAATTTTCGATTTTTTTATTAGTATTCTTTTTGTAGCTTTAAATTATATATATATATTCTTTTTATTATGATTCTAATCTTTCTATTACAAATTTGATATATAAATTTAAAATAATTAGAATTTAAATTAATATAATTTAAAATATTTAAATGCATTTTAAAAATTTTCTCATAACATTTTCTTCATAAAAAGAATGGTTTTTGGATTCAACTTATATTTCTCTCTGGACAAATATAGCATTCAATATATATTTTATGAAATATATTTTATGAAATGTAAATTTTAATTGTTTTTAGAAATTCGATTGCTCTACATTATTATTATATTATAACTATTACATTATGAATAATGATATAATATTATATTTTTTATAATACTCTTGATTTATATATATACTTTCTATAAATTTAATTTAAAGTAGTAATTTAAAATTTTTTTTTATGTTAAAATTTGATCTTTTTATTATTACAGAAAATTCATAAGAAAATCAATTACATGCTTTTCTTTATTTTTCAATATAAAGAAAAAGATTTATATTAAATTTTGAAGCAATTTTTTCAAAATATATATGATTTTAATGAGACGTTTAATTTAAAATCATAAGCAAATTCATTTCCTCGAAATTTATTTTTATCAAATAATTAATAAATATTTTCCGCTAAAATAATATTTTAATTATATAGATTGTAATAGATGAAATAAATAAAAATCATTTAGATGATTGAATACATTATATATAAGTTATATATATAAATTTTTATTATTCCTGTTTTTATATTATAAATTTCCAACCAAATATAACCAAACTTTTATATATATTATGAATAAACTTTATATATTATTATATATTATATATTACAAATAGCAAACGAGTAATTGGAGAAGAAAATATTTTGTCGATACAAGTAATAGAAAAATATATTCATTCAAAAAAATGAACAAAAAAATAAAATAAAATTATTTTTTAAAATGTTTCCATTTTTCATTTTATAATGTTTCCACATTTATAATATTTTTTCATTTTATAATAAAAGCTATATCTGCTTTTATTATATTAATATTGAAATTAACTTTATTATTTCTTACATTACATTTCTTATATTTTATATTTATCTGTAATATTATTATATTTCTCTAAAATTCACTATTATTAATAGTCTCTCTAATATATTTGTTATATAACAAATCTGTAATTATATAGAAATTTAAAAGTAATTCTTACACTTTAAGTCAAAATAAGATAAAAAACAAGAAGAAACAAAATAAGGAAGTGATTCTACATTTTAATTACTAATAATTATAAGTTTAACTTCTTAAATAAACAAATATTCAATTCAAGTAGTAGAAAGTACAATGATCTTCAAATCTAAATAAATGATTATCATGTATAAGATAAAAAAAGATTTTTATAGAATATTAAAATATCGAAAACTATAATTCAGGAATCATTGTGCTTTTTATTATTTTAATTTATCCTATATTTATTCGTATAAAGATAAAAAAATTTGCTTGTACTTATCGATTTTTAATCAATAAAATTAACAATTAAAAAACAAAACTAAAAACTCGTATTTTATATTTTTGGAATCTAAAGCCAAAAGTTATTTTATAAATAATGAATTTTTAGTGAGTTTATCCAATAAAAATCAAAAATATTTTAAAATGTTTATGCATAACATTTATATAAAAATTGAAGTACATTAATATTTTTTTTATGATTATTTAAAGATAAGTTTTGTATGTATGTAAGTTTAACATCTTTAAATTTAATTAAAAAACAAGGAACATATAATAACATATAATAACATTTAAAATTTTTAATTAAAATTTTTAATTTAAATAAATTTAATTTATTGTACAATATTATTAACATTAATAATAATGTTAATAGATTATGAAATGTTTTGTTGAACTAAAAAAAGTGAATTATCTAATAAGAAATTGAAATTATAATAAATTAAAAAAAAAATGTTAATATAAGAAATTTAGTATGAGATATATATTATAGAGATGCAATATTAATTTTATTATTATTTTTTTTGTATTTTATAAATGTGTAAAATAAATACATATTAAATTAATTTTATTTTTTTCAAATAGAATTATATAATATTTAATATACTAAAAAATATTAAATTTTTATTTTTATCTAAAAAATATTATTTTATTAATTTATATATCAACATAAAGTTTGTAAAACTTTATTTATATAAAAAATAAGAATCACACGAAGAAATTGTTTGTTTATATTTTTAAATATTATTTTTTTGTTAATTTTAATCGTTTGTAAGATATTTTTTTTAATTAAAATTAATTAATTTTTATAATTTACTTTGATGATATAAACTTTGAAAATATCGAATGCATTTATTCATCAATAACCAGAAATTCCTGATATTTCAAAAAATCGATTAGATGCTTTCCGCTTGATATCAATTATATTCTGAAAATTAAAGATACGAATTGGGTCTAAATTTTTAGTAAAATATAAATAGTACATAATTTATTTAAAAAAGAAACATAATTAATATACTATAAATAATCTTTTCTAATAAAAAATTTGTTGGTGATTTTCAAATCATAAAATATACATACAATATTAATACAAATATATGAATTTTAGAATTTTCAAATTTAATTAGTTTAACTATTTTCAAGAATTTAAGTTAAGGATATTTACAACTTCGTCTACCAGCTTCTATTTAAAATGAAGATTATATAAATAAATGTTTAGCGAATTTTAATTATTTAATAAAAACAATAAATAAAAAATAATAATAATAAATAAAAAATAGGCTTGTAAGATAGAAAATAAAAATTAGTTAATGATTAATAATTTAATAATCAATTAAATTTTGATAAGAAATCAATAATTAAAGATGGCTTTTTAAGAAAAGAAGAAGAAAAATGTATCTATTTTTTTCCTCAATCATCAAAATATCATATAAAATAACAATATTTCAAATTATATAAAAGATAATTTATAAAAGAGATCAACAGATTAACAATTGATCAAAGAGAAAATTTTTTAAATCTTTGTTTAAAATCGGAAGTTATTGCAAAATTCATCTAGCCTACTATTGACTTTTAATTAACAATCATATTGTAAAGTATCATAATCGAATACGAATATATCCATTTCCTTTCTTAAAAATGAAGAATGATTGGAAGTTTTGAATATTCATATCAAATTGCGCAATCCAAAATAGTTCGTATTGGCTGAGATAGTAGTACAAATAATCGTTTTCCGTGTATTAACCTAGTTTAAGGATATGGAAGATAACTTTTGTGATTCGAAACGAAAGAGATAAGCTAAAGTTAGGTCTAGAAAGAAAAAGAAAGAAAAAGCAAACGAGAAAGAAGAATGTGCATGATGCGATGTTTTAAAAAATGTGATAAATTGACACATAAATGCGTATAGGAAGCTTGCTAAGGTCGATTAGATGAGAGAAGAATGATCGTCTTGATGGAAAAATGAACGAGAAAAGCGATGCAAACTGATTGTTGGAAACGTTAGATAGGGTTTCGGGTGAAAGAAGGCCAAAAGAGGGTGAGAGTGTCAGACGAGATTGTAGTGGTGGTGGAAAAGCTTTGGATATATGAAGTAGATATGGTGGCGCTGGTAGCAGGCGCGGGCTAGAGGTAGGGAGACCAGAGGATACGAACCTTGGATAGCGAACAGTGACTCAGTTTGCTTTCGTTAGTCTTTATGGAAGGTTCGTACCGATATTTCGTGTAAATCGTTTTAACGCATGTTATTTTTCTTCTCTATATATTTGATACAATCAGGATTAGGATTTTCTCATTTTCGGAGTAACGACAATAGAGAGGGATGTGAGTAACTGTGTGTCAACGACATAGTGTGCGAATGTAATCGTGATACGAACAGAGATCAATTAGACGAAAGGTATACTCTGTCGTGAGTAAAGTGTCAAATGCCAGCGGACAATGAATACGATGATACGAAGCTGGATCCTCTGCAGTCTATTTCTGCTGGGATACATTCAAGGTTAGTATAGATCACTTTTATTTATAGACATGTTTATCATATATTATCGTATATTAATTACTATCGCGCGTCGTCCGATTCGTTTTTCATTGGATAAAATATCAAACAATTTTAATTTAAATTTGATCTATTAATTAAACGTTGACATTGCTATGAATTTATTAGATCAATAGTCTAATATTGTTAAATACCAATATTGATGCGTTATATATATTTCATTTTAATTTTGCAATATTGGGCAGAATAATTTGTAAATGATCAATAATAAGAAATTGTTTGTAACTCTGAGTTTCCTTGATCAATGTTTTTTTCTGTATATACTGTATATACACGCGATATATGGCCACGTGCGTTATCTCGTCGGGCTTTTGGCACTTTGTCATATGAACAGAGCAACACTGTTTCTCTTACTACTTTTTTCACTAACTAATGTTTTTGTAATGTGACACCTGGCGTTCAAATAGATTGCATTTCCTCCGAAACAAGTTTAAAGTTTTAGAGAAATACTGATCGCAGATTTGTAAATTACTATTATAAAATGCACAGAAAAAATTCTGACATTCTATAATAATAAGATCATATTCTTGATAGACGCTATTATAAATTTTATTATGTTGTTTTTCGAAAAGTATTTCGAAAAAGTAGACTCGTAATTCATCGATCTGATTTTTTTTCTATGTATCAATTCTTAATATTATGACATTGTTTTTGACATTCTATTCTGCTTGATGCATCTTTATTGTATCAAAATAATCTAATCTTAATAATGTTGTTTTAAAGATAAAACAATATCCAAAAAAAGTACATAGCATGGTAATTTTTATTTTGTTTTATCTTTACTTTACGTATGATATTTCTTTATTGATAGGATTGATAGGATGTTTTTATTTCGTATAGAGATTAAAAGTAATAGAATAATAGTAACGTTTATCGAGTTAATTTTCAGATTTTATTTTTTTTTGACTTGTGATTGTATAAAAATGTTCAATTTTCAATTTTCATTTTTTTTCTTTCTTTATTGGTAAAAAAAGATTAGCGGAACACTATACGTTAATTGAACATCCAACTTCAAAATTAATTTTCTATACGGATAAAGAACCGATTGTAACGATCGTTCCTGCTAAATTAAAATGTAATATGATATAATTAAAGAGATATTGACATAAAAATCGCTCATAGAAACTTAACTAGTTTTAAAGTTTTTTTCTATAATTATCCGGCTCGTTTTTTATAATCAAGAATTCAACCGGAATAAACTTGAAGAATATTCATCAGAATTCGCGAATTTCCACTTTATTCCTTGTTGACGAGGAATGAAGCATGAGAAACGATTCTTTTCATTATTCTAACTTTTCTGCGAGTTTCTTAAACAATAGAGATGAAAAAAACATTCTGAATGATCGTGAATCTGCTTGTTTCATCAGTTGTTTCATAGAATGTCGATGCAAATTCTTGTTATTTCTGTTATTTAAAATTCTTTTTTTTTTCCTTCTTTTATAATATGTTTATAATCTAATCTTATCATTGGAAAGGTGCAAAATATATAAAAATGGAACACCATCCGTCTTTTTTTTCTTAAAATCATATTCCTTTATGCACGGTTTTTCATTCACTATATATCACGTGTTAATCGACATAGCTTGAGAATCTCGTATATCGAACGCAACTTGGAACGATCCTCTTTAAACGATATGACATGTATTTAAATTGCAGGATAATACACTAACACATGAATTTCTTATCAATTGCTTCTCTTTGTGGAATCTATAGAAGAATTAATGTGACCACATGATTGTTTGGATTTTTAGATTTGTGATTTTCATTCAAAAATATATAGAAGTGATTGTTTATTTGTTTATATTTTTTGTATATTTTTTATGCATTTTTTATTTTGTATTGCTTATTTTATATTATTTTGTATTCCTACGATATTTAGATTAATATTTATACATATAAATATGATTTTGAAATTTGAGTTTTTACAAATCTTAACATGTAATGTGGATAAGTGGTGAAAATATACACATTGCTACATATTTTATATATTTTTATAGTATAAATCATTTAATTCAAATTAGAATTTAAATTATATTGATATTTTTTTTTTATTCTCATAATTCTCTATAATCGTTATCAATAGTTTCAATTATTTATGTTCAGTTTAAATTATTAAAAATATCTTCTCCATTGTTTTATTAATTCAGAAAAAAGTTGGAATATAGTAAATTTTATAAATTTTCAAGTTCAAGGTCTATAAAATTCAAGTTTGTGCTTTTTGTCAGATTTTTGTATAATATATTTTCATATAAATCTTCATATTGAAAACTAAATTCTTCATTCAAGATTCATTTCTATTAGATTCTTCTTTAAAATTTATATTTTTTATATTAATTTATATTAATTTATTAATGATTATTCATATATCATTATATAAGTGTATCTAATGTACTTTTCTGAGAAAAAAATCTTTATGATTTTAATAATCAGAATTTTTCAAATCATTGTAATAAATAATTTTTGAAATATCTTTGTTTGTACTCGATCAACCAAACTTTTATCTTTAATAAATAATATTTTATAATTCGATTACATTATTGATGTCAATTATTGATAATTTGAAACTAAAGTTGAATTATTTATAGTGCTAAAATATAAATTCAAAACCAAAAATTTAATGTCACATATTGTTTCGAATACAGTGTGACATTAAGCAATTGAAATATTAGTTTTTAATTATAACTGTTTTATACAATAGAAATTAATTTTTCTTATCGATAACTATTACATGCGATCGAAATAGAATTTCTCTCATTAATAATTATTCTTAGCAAAGAAAAAATTTTTATTATAATAGTTATTTGTAAAACTTTAAAACTTTGATATTTGTTAATTGAATTTTGAAAAATTTTCTTTACATTTTATGACGTTTATCTTCATTTTAAATAACGAATAAGTTTTTTTTTAAATGATTCTTTCAAAATATTATTGGAATAATTTTTATTTTTGATCTTTGCTTAAAATGAATTTTGAAAAAGAAAATATTATAAAATACACTGTATAATACTGCAATAATAAATCGATAAATATTTAAAGAAATTATTAGTGGCTTGATTTTTAGTTCTTTGATTTTAGGAGTTAGTTGACTTAGCACGAATGCCGATTAAAATTTTTCTAATAACTAGCTCGAACAATTAGAGAAATAAAAAATCAAATTTATTGAATCAAGTTTATTGCATGAAGTTATTACTTATAACAGCAAGATTCTAATTATACCAATTATGCGAATGTTTCTATACTAGATATTTTTAAAGTTTTTTTCTAATATTATTCCATGAGAGTCTATTAACTTTAATTATGCTCTATATATTCTAATGACTATATTTAATTAGAGAGAAACTATTATGATTGCAAGTCGGGCCTTCTTTTTCCTCTTCGAATCAGCAAGAAGTCAAGAGTGAGGCCCGAGAGGGTAGAATCACCCCTTGGGAGATAACCAACTCTAAATCATTTCCCTTTAGTGCGCTTGCGAGTAGGATGTGCCCTAGAGAGGAGGGTTAGCCACCGGTGAGTGGCCGTCTGGCGATTTCCCGCTGGATCAGACCCGGACGCTTGAAATTACCAAGAATAATTTCACAGGACCTATGATCCTTTGGTTAATAGTCTTGTGGTGACATGCCGATCTATAAATTAGGAAACTTTTCATTTTCCAAATGTTTGAGGACAAATCTTCAAACTGACAAATTCCACAAGTTTTGTCTGATAATCGCATTTGAGATCACCTCTCATTTGATCTAACAGATAGTAATCTTAACAAACAGTAAGATCATATTTAAATTTCGTTAAATTTCTCATTATAAAATTCTTAATAATGTGTCATTCTTTAACATTCAAATAAGAATTCTCCAGATTGAAAATTGTAAAAGAAAATTGTCATTTCAAGATTTGTTAAAAGTTTATCATGAAAAATAGTCGTAAAATAGAATTTAATACGATGATCTAAACTTGAACAAAGTTTTTGTTTTACGAATATTTTTCTTCTTATTTAAATTTTTCCATTTTTTATATTTATTTTTCATTAACTGTATATCATTAATTATAGCTCCATACTCTTCATTTAACTCAAATCAGTTATATAGAATAAGTTTCGTTGAACTTTATTTTGTATAATTGATTTTGAATAGCAAAGAATAAAATGAAAGTGAAATCTCCAAATATCGTTATATGATCAGAAATTTTTCGTTTTTTCTTTTATTTTCTTCTTTTTATTTTTCATTTTAAAATATATTTATTCCACAATTTACTGTTCCGTATGATTTTTTTTACACGAAAGAAAAATGATCAATTATAAAACAATAGTAAATAAAAAAAACCGATATAAGTTATAAAAATATTTATTTTAAATATTTTTAAAAGAAATATTAGTAAAACTGTAAAAAAGTTACCTCCGATTTTGAAATATGTTTCAGAAATCAAACAATATCTTAAACAATTTTTTTCTATACATATGAGCAATAGTTAGAATAAAATACAAATATGTAATAATATAAAATAAAAAATAAATATAAAAAGCAAATCTTGGATTTGTTATAAATAATAAAAACTAATTGTAAATATAAAACATATCATTTCAGTTAATGTTAATTTTATTCATTTAAGGATCGTTTATATTTATCAAAAGTTCTCTAGATGAATAGAAAAATACTAACAATTATATGATGATTTCTGCTCGATATAGATTCAAATGTTAATTAAGATTAAGATATTTCAAACCTACTATTTTTTGCGATGAAATTTCAGGAAGAAATCTCATCATCTCATCATCTTTTTTTCACCGATTTTTCTGTTATTATATAATAATTGCCATCGTTAATATTAACAAAAAATATATGATATATGTTTATATATATGTTTACACGGTTGCATATATATAATTGAATTTTTACATAATAATAGTATTTTATTTAATTTATTTATTTATTTATTTATTTTTATAACAAAAA